AGTATCATTCACAGTCAATCGACAACGGCGGGAAGATTGAGTTCAAAAAATTTGAGCTCAAGACGTAAGCAGGTGTAAGAGCTATGTGGAATACGTATTTCCGTTTCAAAACAAAAATTTCGCTCGAGTTGGAAGCAACAGTTTCAAGATCGGCCGAAGATATTGCGAAGATGTTGAAGCGTCCACATGAATATTGAAGTGTAATGTTGCATTTTATGTTGAAATCATATATGTAATGTTTATGTTATGTTATGAATGTTATTTTTATTTTGGAAAATTACTTGGTGTTAAATCTGCTCCTGGTGTGTCTCAACTACGGAAATATTTCAGAGATGTATCTTCGAAATAAAGTATAAAAAAAAGAGTGTAACTCAAAAATAGCCTTACTTGAACATGTGTTAGGATGTGTCGGAGATGCATTTCTAAAAATAGGGGGCATTTGCAGAAATTCGCATAGTACAGTATAAATATATTGGGTGCGTTAAAAAATAATTTTATATTAAGGAGAAATGTTATTCTTACACACATTCATACACCTACGCCGTATTTTAATATTCACCAATACGAAGAACAGTGAAATATTATAATAATAAAATAATTTTTTTAAATATAAAAATTAATTTTTTTTTATATCTACACATTTATTAACCAATTTTATAACTTCATTAACCAACTTTTTATATTGTATTAACCAATTTTGTTTTACTACTAAAATTATTTTTATATCTTGACGTTTATTAACCAATTTCGTAATTTCATTAATCAACTTTTTATATTGCATTAATCAACTTTGTTTTACTAGTAAAAATTATTTTTAATACCTGATCGTTTGTTAATCAATTTTATCACTTAATTAATCAACATTTTATATTTTATTAATCAATTTTGATTTTGAGTTAAAACTCACGGTTCACAGGCAGTATTCATGTACATAATAGTGTTTACATAATGCTTTTCATACCACTGATCATATACGATTTTACTGTTCACAATATTGTTTTCTGTATTTATAAATAGTGTAAATGATATAGATAGATGTAAGGTGAATGTAAGAATAACATTTATTAAGTAGGTGTGTCTCAATTGCAAAGTAGCTGATGACCCATTGCCAGTATATTATAGACACGATGACTTACATGGATGTCTTTTCATCCTACACGATGCAAGTACACATCCTTCTCATGAGATGATAGGAGAGTACATGCTTCACCCTAGATAGAAACTTCATTGAATTATTCAAAACAATAATCAATTGCATTCAATTATTCAAAACAATAATCAAATGCTCAATTTTAAATTCATATAATCGTATCGGTAGGCAAGCCTTGGGTTAGGTAACTTATCCCAATAATTTGAATGCTGAACTTGAACATTCATACACAATGAATTTAAAGTAATTCATATCGGTTGTAATTTAGGCCAGTTTGTATTAGTTTTTCTTAAAATAATTTTTAAAGTGTTATATATTTTTATTGAAGAAAAATTTATTGAATCTTTTATAATAAAAAGATTCAAATAAAAATTTAATTTGAATAGTTGTTCTTAAAATATTATTATTTTATAATTTTATTGAAAATTATTTATGAATATTAAAATTTTAAAAATAATTTAATTTTGAAAATATTTCATAAAAAAATATTTTTGAAATACAATTTTTCAAAACAAAATTGTAATTTTAATTATATTTTGATCTTAAATATATATTTATATTATAAAATGTCAAAAAATTAGTCTTTTAATTATATTTTCATCTTCATTAATTAAGAGTCTCAATATATACGTTGAATATGTGATTATAAGTGAGATCAATTCTTAACATACAATTCGATTTTGTAGAATTGAATTAGGTCAAAGTACATTTCTTAATATGATATCAGAATTGAATTAATGACATGATATTTGTATTATTGGAGTTGGAGTTTTTGTTTGAAATCTCACATTTATTTAGGTTCATTGGTGATTGTGAGGGTAACCTCGCCTACTAATTTTTAGAGTTAAAATGTTAGAGTTGAGTTAAGTTGAACAATATTTCTTTTTGATATGTTTCAATTTAATGAGAATAAGATTAACATTATGTGAGTTTTTTATATTGAGTACACATATATTTATTAGTGAGGATTGTTAGGAAATACTACTATATAGGAGTAATGCAAAGTGGGGACAAGGACAACTAGTGAGCATAAGACAAGTAGCCCTTCCATTTTGTATATTTTTGTATAAACATAAACAAAAACAAAAGTTATTTCATGGGGCTATTGTACATGAAACAGAAAAACTAAGGAAAGAAACAAAATGGTTTCTAATAATTCAGTACGACAAACAAACAAATTGTAGTGACATATCACAAGTTAACAAAAAAAAAAGTTATGAACGGACCACTATCTTCTAAAAAATATACAATAGTAGTTTCTTGACCCTTAGAGACAATCAATAATTAACATTTCACATATAGTCAATAATAATTAGACAGCAACCCTCCGAAAAACATAAGGACAATTATGTTAAGGTTTTGACAGTAATGGAGGATTACTTTCTTACTTACATACCTTTCTGCATTTTAGGCGCCACATTCTATAAAATTGAACATCATATTTTTAATCCTAAGTATGGGTGTTGCTTTCGTGTCTGTGCATGTGTCGATCTTAACAGCATTGCTCTTTAGTCAGAGATCCTGTTGTAGGGAATCTGGCATAGAAACTGATGTCAGCTAGTGTACTGCTTTCTTCACGGTTCATTGGAAGCCTAACACTCAAATCCATCAAATCCCCATCAACAGTTCTGGATTTTAGTGCTGTGTTGATACAGAACTTTCATGTGCACCTGTTAACTTTTCACTGGTGGAGATTACAAGACTGATGGAAAAAACAACATATATATAGATATTCAACAAGCACTCAGGAAAAGAAAACATCTTATATAAACCTGGTTGGATATGGTAAATAGGAGCATGTTGATATCCATACAGACACTGAATCATCCTTCATTTCTGGTTGGTGTTGTCTTTAGAAACAGAACTAATACTCAATACAGAACAAGATCGTCGAATTCGAGTATATCTTCAGTTTTTCTTACTGATGATAGTGGAAACTTTGAGGAACCAAGATCATCAAACTCCTGCATCATGCTAAGCCAACAAAATACTATTGGTGTTATAGGAGGAGTATCAGTTTTATCAACTCTTGTTTTCTTAGAGAAACTTGCTTGTTGGAGTTCAAGGAATGGTAAACAATGTCCACCTTTTGTTGTCTGCAGTGATCCTGTGTTGAATAAGGCGCTATCTTTACACGGTTCTTTTCCTTCTACAAGGAACAGAATGGACCGAATCAAATTGAATCAAGAGCTGATGATTCAGAATTTGCGGCACAAGAGGAACATTCTTCATCAATCTGGAGCTCGCGGTTTGGCCTTGCCTTGTCATCTGTCACATGCTTGGCACAGTGAAATTTCACAAGACAGTTCTCTACCTTTTCTTCACGTTGGTGACTGTGTGGCCATGGAACTCAAGAATGCTAAGATGAAGCCAATTCATGCTGCGAATGCCGTGAGGATTGGACTCCTCGCTACAGATTCATCCTTTGTAGTTTGTTATTACAAGGATAAGCTTCAAAGTCAGGTATTTCTGATGTTCTTTTCTTTCTCTCATGTCAATCAGTAATCCAAATACTTTGCAAGGTTAGTATTATTTGTAGCTTTAAGTTTTTGTTTTGCAGGGTTTTGAAGTAGTATTGCTAGACAAAGAGACCGAGGAACACATACTTATTCCTGCAGTGGAGGCTTTGCAGAGAAAGGACATAGAAGGGGCAAGGAATTTGCTGAGAATTGCAATCCATGTTCTTTTGGTAAGGGGAGTGAATGTGGTGATTCTGGCATCGGATGATTTGCTAGGGATTCTCCCTCACAATGATCCTATTCTTAGGAAATGTATAGATCCCATGGATGCATTGGCTAGATCAATTATAAATTGGGCAGAAACAACATCAAAGGTACCTGGGAAATGATTTTAGTATTCCTTTTCCCAAAATTCTTGGCATAATAATTGGAGCATATCTGTTAAAAAAAGAAAAGAAAAACACAGCTCCATGTTAGTGGGCTCAAATACTGTCCAATAAACCTTTCACCAAAATCATCTGTCCATTTTCTCTGCCTTCTTTCTGCACCACGATTATTGTCTTTTTCTGCTGCAGAGGCAGGAGAGGGCCATGTAAACATTTTCTTGAAGAATTGGATTCAAAGTAGTAGTCTACACACTGCAACAACTACAAAATCATTAGATTGAAGTTAATTTTTCTTTGATCCAACGGTCCTGTACCTGTTGCACTTTGTACAACAAGGGATATATTTTCATAGAACAATAAACAAATTGCTATGTAATATATAGTGGAAATTGGATTTTGCATCACCTGCAAGAATAACATGATAGGTGTCGTGTGTATGTGTTTATTCTGAATTTTGTCAACAAAAAAAAAAATGAAGAAAAATAATATTACGTAATTTAAATGACAGTAATGACAATTTTACAGCCATCTCGGAAGATTTTTTTTTTGAACTCCGTCCTTTGAGGTTACAAGCAAAATCTAAGTACCACTAAGCATTTGAAAGTGTTGAAGAGTTTTGCAGATTTAAGAACCAATTTCTCATGAAAAATTTCTCTGATGGAGAGACATCATGTTCTTCACCAATAATGAAATAAACACTGAAATACTACATTATTCACCAATAATGAAAAATCTGGAAAATGTTGAGAGTGTAATCTCCAATAATGAGATGTACATGAAAAAATAGTGTGAAATAGTGAAACTCTCCAAAATGAGGAGTGTAATCTACAAACAGTTTAATGACAACTTTACATCAAAAGAAAAATGATCCATAACACTAATAAGATATCTTTATTCCCATTGGAAAAAGAATTTCAGCCACCCACAAGAATTGTCATGGAATCAATAGGTTTTATTTTGGTAAATATGGACTGAATAGCGTTCTTTGAAATGCATCAACACCATTTAGTGGACATTTTGATCTGAGAAGGCCCAAGAGGAAATAAGGTGATGGGCTATCGCACAAGGTCCAGGAACAAATATTGGAGCAAATTCACTACTTTCCACGTTGAAATCTCCAGCCAAGCTCCTACTCTTTTCTACTCCCTTGCACATTTGTTCTACCTTTGATGCAGCTGTTCTTTGGGCTTTTTTATATTCGGCCAACGTTAATGATTTCCGTACGTCTTCTCTACTGAACCACTTAACATCTAGATAAGAAAATTGCAAAATCAGACTATAAACAAATGCAAAGGATATGGGAAACTGCCGTGCAAAAATAAAAGAAAATAATCTGCATGAGTTCATAACTAAAAGAAAATATTTGCATACACCTCATGTGTTTAGCCCAGAATTCGGCCATTCCACAAACACACACATAATGTATGTAACTCTGTCTCACTTATAAATAGTTTTTTTTACAAGTTAACTCATTACTTGAAGTCATTTTTGTAAATAAAGGAAAAAAAAATGAAGGATTAGATGGTAAATAGGGGAGTGTGATTAAACAATGGAAGTTAACGTACCTTCTAACTCTTTCTTGTCCACAGTTATTTCGCGGGATTTTGCATATGCAAAGAACCCAACCATCAGCTGGCAGGGAATGCTATTTGAACCAACTAGCAACATAGACAAGATAGAAATGATAACATTAATAAACAAGAAGAGGGGAAAATATATTGATAAATTCAACAAGAAAAATAGTATAATACACATCTAATTGCATTGATTCATCATGACATTTAACTATGTTAACTCATCTAATTGTATGGAATTGACAATGTTAACTCAACTCCACAATCACATGTCTCTTAAAAGCAAACAACATAGATATAATAAAATTACAAAAACATAGGGTTAAAACTAATGTATAGCAATGTAGCATAAACCATACTAGGCCATGGCTGAGAACTGTGATATACAACTTCTCCCACTTCAATACCACTCTCTTCATAAGCCTCTCTTCTTACAGCTTCCTCCAAGCTTTCTCCTTGCTAGATTCAACATGATACAAACTAATAAGAAATTTATATACACGGAGAAAGGGAAAAGACAAAAGCCTAAAACAAGTACACATGCAAGGAAATTCTCAAGTCCCTAAAAAACGAGGATGTTTTAAATGGTCAAAACATGCACCTCTGCGAAACCAGCTAAGCAGCTCCACACTCGAGAAATAACCTTCGGTCGTGTACCCAAGAGGACACAGTCATTTTCTCTATCAATTACAAGCATAATTACCACCTAGAACACAAATAAACAAGCAAAACACTTGATGACCATCCCATTTACAAAATCAAGACAGAACAAAAAAACAACAAACCGGGTCAACACGTGGATATATCCTTTTCTTGCAAGAATCACTCGAACATTGCTTACGTCTCCCGGCTTCCACCGACACAGTTTTCTCTCCACAATGTCCACAGAATTGGGAAATATTATGCCATTCTAGCAGTGCCTTGGCCTGTCCAAGCCAAACCAGTAATAATAAGGAAGTTGCATTGACATTCATAGACAAAACAAAAGCACAATAATTTGATAAAAAATAAGCAAAATACCTAACTTACATGACCAGCAATAGCTAGATTTTCCATTGCTTTGGAATCTTCCCAATCGGTGGCCACCATGAGAGTTCGGAGCTCCACGAAACGCAATTCCACGTTGGTGTCTGTACCCAATTGAGGTACCTTAGCGGAAACATCAATTGCCCAGTAAATGGCGTCGTCCTCTGCACGCGAACCCAAGTACACAAACGAGTCTCCATTAAGCTGGGCGCCTGAACTTTCGAAGATACGTCTAAGATCGTCCAAACCGATCCAAGCCAGATGCCAAACCGGCGGTGAGTCACCGGAGTCAACCGCGGAAGAGGCTAAAGTACTTCCATTTCTGAATGGAAGGACCTTGAAATTGGGAGAAGGAGAAGAGTGGTCGTTTTGTAGAATGATCGCGTTGAGGGATTTGAGAGCCGCGGAGGGTGAAAGTGGATCGGCGGGAATTGAGTTTAGAGGGTTCCCGGCGAAGGCATGGAAGTGTAAGTTTATGGACATAGCGGTTTCTGATGGAGAATAAGAAGAAAGGTTCGGTTTGAGAAACTGTTTTGGAAAAAGGATTGTCGAGGAAGAAGTTAAACGTGGTGTTTTCAAAAAGTGCAAATTGGGAAGGAAGAGTCTGTGTATATGGTAATGACACGTATACCTTTTTAATCTTGGGTCCCACTGCATATCAACTCACATAACTATAGCAATATATGAAAACGGTCTAAAGAAAATCAAATCAAACTAGGATAAAAGGTTAAAATATTTCAGTTCATTTTATAAAAAAAAATTATCTCCATTTTCCAATATTCTATATCTTCTTTGGTTTATGTGTTTTTGTTTGGATGGATGATAAATATAAATGATTATAGTAAAATTGAGTTTAGTAGAATTGATTTTAATAAAATTAAGTTTGGTAGAATTAATTTATTTTTGAATATATTTATGTAAAAGTGAGTTAAATAATAAATTTCAATATAAAAATTACTCAAAATCAATTTTGAAGATAGAAGTTACAAGTTTTAATTTCAAGAAGAATCAATTTTAAAGATAGAATCAATTCTACTTTTGATAAAACAAAACACTTTAAAATCACACAAAATCAATTCTACAACTCCAAAATTGATTTTCGAACTTCCAAAAAGCAATCCAAACATGCTAGTCATCAATTTCTCTACCCCAACAAATTTAAGAGTTTTTAACTTGTCATCTCTTACTTGTATATGACACCACTCATTTAAAGCACTTTTATTATTATACCTTTTTTTGTAAAATTTGGTTTTTTTTTAATAAATTTATCTGTTTTTATCGAAAATTTGCAAACTTTTTATTTTTTATTGAAAATTTTGGAATTTTCAATAAAAAATAAATATTTCTGAAAAAAATTTAAAGAATACCGGAATTTAAGAAATTCAAAATTCAAAAATTTTAAATTATTTTTTACATTACCGGAAATTTTGCCATATCATTTTGAATGTTCAAGAGGAACATTCTATTCTTTGACATAGTCACCTTAGCAATCAAGTTATTCCCACGATATCTTAAGAAAAGACTATGCTCTTTTAAATGGATGTCATAGCCTTTCTCTAATAATTGTCCCAAGCTCAAAATATTATTTTTCATGTTAGGAACATAGTAGACATTGGATATGAATTGATGACTCACATTCTTCAAGCGTATGAGAATCTTACCTTTGCCTTTGACAGGTATCTTTGAGTCATCTCTAAATGAGACATTGCCAGTTGTCGCTTCATCAATCTCTACGAACATGTTTCGATTGCCGCACATGTGGTTGCTTGCGCCGGTGTCGAGGTACTACTTGTTTCTTTTCTTTTCAACTTGGTTTTGGCAAGCGAGCAACAAAGTTTGTTCTTCTCAACCTTTTTATTCTACAAAGTTAGCTTTCTCCACAATCTTCTTCGAGAATCTACACTCAGATGCGTAGTGACTGATCTTGTTGCAGTTGAAGCACTTAATTTGTGACTTGTCGCACCTTGACCATGAATTTCCTCTTCCACGGCCTCTTGTTGCTTGTGGGTTCCAACTTCTTTCTCCATTGTTGAAGTTGTTGGAGTAGTTGTTGTAACTGCCTCTTCCTTCTCCTCCATGTCCTCGTCCACGTCCACGATCTTGGCCATGACCTCGTCCTCTTTGCATATTGTAATTCGCATAGTTTGCTTCATTTGCATTAAGTTGTAGTAGTTTTTCCATAGTCTCCTTTTGTTTAGTTTTTCTCTTTTGTTTGTCTTCGTATGCTTGTAAAGAACCCATAAGTTGCTCAATAGTCATGGTCTTTAAATCCTTGTTTTCTTCAATGTTGGTAACAATGAAGTCAAAACTTGAATTTAAAGTGTGAAGTGTTTTCTCCATGACTTTCACCTCATCAACATCTTCACCATTTCTTTTAAGTTGATTGACTACGGACAATACTCGAGAAAAATATTCAGAAATTACTCAGACTCTTCCATAAATAAAGGTTCAAACTCACCTCTAAGAGTTTGAAGACGAATCTTTTTCACCCGCTCCACTCCTTTGTTGCAAGTTTTAAGCATATCCCATGCTTCTTTGGCCGTCGTTGCATTGGAGATCTTCTCAAATGTATCTTCATTCATCAATTGATAAATGAGGAAGATAACTTTCTTGTCTCTCTTTCTTGACTCCTTCAATGTCTCCTTAACACCTTGACTTAGTGAGGCTTCATCTTTCTTCTTGAAGCCTTTTCCAACAATATCCCACACATCTTGAGCTCCTAGTAGCGCCTACATCTTGATACTCCAATAGTCATAGTTGTTCTTTGTGAGCATCGATATTTGAAAAGGGAAACCTCCATTCTCCATCTTTTGAGGACCTTCAAGCTCTGATGTCATTTTGTTGGAAAATAAAGCCTTTTGTATTTAGGGAAAATGTGTGAGAATATTAAATGCTTGAATATAAATTTGATAGATAGGAGAATTATTTATGGAAGAGAGAACTTTGTATTTTGCTTGATACAAAAGTGTAGAATTACATCTCTATTTATAGTACTCTAAGGAGAACTCTAGACACACTAATTATAGAGAGTTCTCAACTCTAGGTATTCCAAGAGCATTCAAGAAAATATTATAACCCTAAGAAATATCTAGACACTCCAAACACTACAAGAGTTTTCTAGAAACATTACCCAAATTACCTAAGCCCAAAATAACTAAATCTGAAAAGGCAAATAATATGTTAAAGCTCAAATCAAGTTTAATCTTTCAACAAAAATAAACAATTAAATTTGTTGAGATTAGATAATCTGATGAAGTGAAGGACAAATTAAGAACAAAATGAGAGAAAGATAACAAAGAAGATAAAAAGAGAGAAATGGAAAGAGAAATTTTAAAAAATGTGAATTGGAATTTTCTTTAAAGAGATCACATTTATTTTTTTTCTTAAAATTTAATAGTATTTTTAACAAATATACCAAAATATTATCCACTATATTTGTATATATAATTTTTTTTAAGTAAGTAAGGTATAAGCCCAAAGAAAAAAGAAACTAAACTGCTTCAACCTGAAGCATTAAGATTTTAGAGAAATCCATAGCAAGTAATTCAGCGAGATCATTTGGATAAATATGATAAATTCACAAACCAAGATCACGATGCAAGCTCTTATTTGCCATGGCATCTGCGCAATGATTGATTTGTATATGGACATGATTGATGATGGTTTTCCAATCTTCATTCAAATATTTCTTGATTTGATGAAGAATACCACATCCTTCCTTACAACTTGGTGTCCTAGTTTTCACCACCTCAGTGATTACTTTGCTATCTGATTGTAATTTGACCTTCTTGTATCCTTTCCTCATGGCAAATCTAAGACCATCAAAGACTCCCTATAACTCTGTAACAACGCTACTACAAACTCCAATATTCTTGTAGAAACCTCCAATCCACTTGCCTAGATTGTCCCGAAGTAAACCCCCACAACTAGCTTTCTCATTATTCTTTGCAACTCCATCAACATTGATAATAATTCAACCCTTTGATGGAGGTTTCCAGCTTATATGATACAAGGTATGGTGCTTGATACTAACGCGTGATGGAGCTTCATGTTCATGCTGTAAAAATGTGTTCGAATTTTGATATCATTTGACAACACTGTAGTCATGACATAACTATCATCATAAAACTTCTTATTCATCCAAAACCATAAAGTGTGGCAGGGCAAACTCGCATCAAATATAAGAGACCAATATGAGACTTTTACAAGCAAGAGTCGTACTAGCTTTAGCCTTTGCACAATCTCTCAAGACATAGATATCGCATCATATATATATATATATATATATATATATATATATATATATATATATATATATTGATCTGACCTGATCAGGAGGAATCACGGACTGGCCACACACCGTTGGGCTATTATCTGTTCGCCGGGGTGAGAACGAGGAGGGGGGTGTACCTGCAAAGCACTCCGACGCCCAAGTAAGAAGTTGGACAGAGAGGAAGCAGTAGTACAGAAAAGGGGGCAAGAAGAGTTACCTGACCCTCTTGAAGAAGAGGGTATTTATAGAGAGACCCCAGCGCTGGGCCAACGGTCATCCGAGGTGGGCCAGACGACCAGGCCCAACCCAAATGACTGCTAGGGCTTACGTGGCGTAGTGAAGACCAGGACGTGGTCTTCGCCCTAGTTCAACCGCTCCTAGGTCTCCGGAAAGTGGGTTTGACCTGCTCTTTCGGAGGTGGGCGGTTGGCCGATGACGTGTCCCCGCGGAGGGGTGCACGTGGAGAACGTGCGCCGAGCACGTTATCCTCCCGCGGAGGGAGCCCGGGGTGGTCTTGCTCGTCCGGCGTGATGGACGCCCAAAAGGGACATGGAGCGGTAGCTTGAGCCCGTCCGTCCAGCCCTGCTCGTCCGAAGGCGCGTGCCGGGGGTGCCCAGTTCGCTTGCTGGGCCGCCTTTGGTATTGGGCCTGCCGAGGTGATGCCCATACCGGAACAGGAGCCCCCCAAGTCGAAGCTCTGGGGAAGAGCGAGGACTTAAGGTCGTCGTGTCTGGAGTGGGGACTCGCACGAAGGGCTCCGGTCGTCGGTAGAACGGGGAAGAGGCAGGTGAAGGGACGCGACTGTCAGGTTGCCTCCACGTGTCTTGTGTTAAGCGGTCGTAGGGGCGGCTAACCTATGTCATTAATGAGCCTAGAGTCGCTTCGAGTCCCGCGCCGGGTTATAAATATGGCGGTCCTCGTTCATTCTGTTACTTTTCTCTCTGCTAATCTTTTATCGTCTCTGCTCGTCCGCCGCCTGCCGCCGATCGCCGCCGTGCCGTTGCTCTTTTCTTCCGTCCGCCGCCGTTACACGTGAGTTCCTCTTTTCCCTCTCTTTTTATTTCCGTCGTCTAACTGGAACTTGTGGTCGGGGCGGGATGAACGCCCCGAGGAGGGACGCGAGTTCCGCCGCGTCTGGCGAGTCTTCCGATGAATGTCCCGGGGACGGTAGGCTTTTTCTGATGAATGCCCCGAGGACAGGAGCTTTTTC